GCATGTCTCTGTCCATCCATCAGACAGATGAGGCAACTTCCCGAGCTGCCAGATATGAGGGCTGGAGGCTGTGCTTAAATTATCTCCCAGTGCAGTAAGAAAATTCTTTTAGGTTTCCTAAAATAAGACAATATGCCTAAATGCAAGCAAGCCAAATGTCATTCATTGTTAGTCAGTTTATTAATGAAATTAGAATTTTGTCTAAATTTAAGAAAATCATACTTGCTTAGATTTTCATTTTTTGCAGTGTGGGTTGAAAACCCGACCCTGGGCAGAAGGTTGTGTGTTTGTAGGTTCAGAACCCAACCCTGAGGCCATGGGTTTGTGGGTTCAGAAACCAACCCTAGGCTGGAAGTCACGAGTTTGTGGGTTCAGAACCCAAATCTGACCCTGAACTGAAAGTTGTGTGTTTATGGGTTCAGAGCCTGATCCTGGGGTATAGGCTGAATGTGAGGTGCCCAGGAGGCACTACAGTAGGACATGCATGTGGAGAAAAACACCTCCAGGCAGCTGAGTCCAGAATCACAAAACCATAAAGGAAGGGTGGGGGCATCGCATCACCCGTAACCCTTAAAAGGCTGTAAGGGATTGCAGAAATCCCTGCAGAGCACTGGCGAAATCAACCCAAAAGTGTCCTGCAAATGTATATTTTAATTTTTATATTTGCAGTCTGTGTTTATACAACACTTTTCAGAAATTTTGTAAATAGAAGCACTTTGGACAGGAGTATTACTTAAGCAATAAATCAAATCAAAGTTTATCAAGAACAGTACAATAAACAGCGGTACAATAATTAGTTAAAATGCACAGAAAACAAGGATATATAAATACAGTCAAAAAGAGTAAGAACACACATGAGTTTGCAGGAGATCATCAATATCCATCCGACAATAAGAAAATAATGATGATGTAACAGTCTCAGGCTGCACGGCTGAGCAGCGAAGCTCCAGCTCCCAGTGCGAGTTTGACTGACCAGGCTTCTGCGCTCCGGCTCCCTGAGCGCTCTGCTGCAGTGTGAACGGCGTTCCGGGATCGACAGAGGCACGGGCGCGCTCACCGAGAGGAGGTCTCTGCGCTCCGGCTCCCTGAGCGCTCTGCTGCAGTGTGAACGGCGTTCCGGGGTCAGCGGAAGCACGGGCGCGCTCACTGAGTGTCGTTGTGCTCCTCTGCTCATGGTTTATCTAATATTCCAACTCTGCACTTTGATTTGAATATGATCTGATTGTGATCTGATTGTGATGTGCTCATCTATTGTCCCAGGCTGTCTTGCGTCCCACTAGGCCGTCCTCCACCATCACGCTCTGAACTGTGCCATGAATTTCCCTGCTCCCATTGGTTCCTCACTGGTACAAATCTATGATGTATTCCCTGTCATCTCTTTATGGTCTGGAGAGGAGCATGTGTGAGGCTGTCCTTCTCCACTCCATGCCTCATGTCCTCATCCTGTGCTCTGCCACTCTGCGTGCACCCTAACGCCTGATTCTGATTCTGAATGGTGTTAAGACAAAGCACAGGACCCTGATTTTCTGGCCAGCTTAGCTCTAACACAAGCCGACAGGATGGGTCCCTGGCAGAAGGCCAGTGTGAGACGGCGACCCTGAGGTTGCTGGAAGGTGATGGTACTGCTTCAGAAGCCACGGGCTGTTTCTGGGCCGTGACCCAGTCCTGGATCCTCCCCAGTCCATGGAAGTGCTGAGATCATGGGTGCCAGGCACCCTTCCCCGCTGACACAGTTTGGCGTCTCGCCTTGACACCAGCACTGGAAACCCGAGATGCAGCCCACGCATCACCTGAGCCCCCCCCGGCCCAGACAACGCCCCCCCACCTCCCTGCACCCGTCTGCTGACACTCCACGTATTCAGTAATTATTGGCATGGCGATAGGGACACAAGGACAGTCACAAGGAACGGCTGCTTAATACTTGGATCCTTTCGTCTCAGAACTGGGTGGGGGGGTGCTGACATTGGCATGTTTTGTTCTGTCTCACAAAGACGGACCTGATGCGTGACTTAGTGCCCAGGGAGAGTGTGTTTTCAGCACCTGTCCTGAGCTGTGCTGACAGCCTGCCCCCAGCACCCCGCCCCCATGTGGCTGAGTGATGGCTTTAGCACACATGCTAATTTGTTCGCTCTCACTAACCAAGGCATTGAGGCCGGTCCTCCCCTGATGGCCTGCGGGTGTGACTGGGCTTGTCAAGGCNACGGGCGCGCTCACCGAGAGGAGGTCTCTGCGCTCCGGCTCCCTGAGCGCTCTGCTGCAGTGTGAACGGCGTTCCGGGGTCAGCGGAAGCACGGGCGCGCTCACTGAGTGTCGTTGTGCTCCTCTGCTCATGGTTTATCTAATATTCCAACTCTGCACTTTGATTTGAATATGATCTGATTGTGATCTGATTGTGATGTGCTCATCTATTGTCCCAGGCTGTCTTGCGTCCCACTAGGCCGTCCTCCACCATCACGCTCTGAACTGTGCCATGAATTTCCCTGCTCCCATTGGTTCCTCACTGGTACAAATCTATGATGTATTCCCTGTCATCTCTTTATGGTCTGGAGAGGAGCATGTGTGAGGCTGTCCTTCTCCACTCCATGCCTCATGTCCTCATCCTGTGCTCTGCCACTCTGCGTGCACCCTAACGCCTGATTCTGATTCTGAATGGTGTTAAGACAAAGCACAGGACCCTGATTTTCTGGCCAGCTTAGCTCTAACACAAGCCGACAGGATGGGTCCCTGGCAGAAGGCCAGTGTGAGACGGCGACCCTGAGGTTGCTGGAAGGTGATGGTACTGCTTCAGAAGCCACGGGCTGTTTCTGGGCCGTGACCCAGTCCTGGATCCTCCCCAGTCCATGGAAGTGCTGAGATCATGGGTGCCAGGCACCCTTCCCCGCTGACACAGTTTGGCGTCTCGCCTTGACACCAGCACTGGAAACCCGAGATGCAGCCCACGCATCACCTGAGCCCCCCCCGGCCCAGACAACGCCCCCCCACCTCCCTGCACCCGTCTGCTGACACTCCACGTATTCAGTAATTATTGGCATGGCGATAGGGACACAAGGACAGTCACAAGGAACGGCTGCTTAATACTTGGATCCTTTCGTCTCAGAACTGGGTGGGGGGGTGCTGACATTGGCATGTTTTGTTCTGTCTCACAAAGACGGACCTGATGCGTGACTTAGTGCCCAGGGAGAGTGTGTTTTCAGCACCTGTCCTGAGCTGTGCTGACAGCCTGCCCCCAGCACCCCGCCCCCATGTGGCTGAGTGATGGCTTTAGCACACATGCTAATTTGTTCGCTCTCACTAACCAAGGCATTGAGGCCGGTCCTCCCCTGATGGCCTGCGGGTGTGACTGGGCTTGTCAAGGCTGACCCCCCCCCCCCCAACCTGGAGAGGTGGGTGGGAGCCATTAGCAAGCTATGACTGCATGAAGAAAGGGGTCCTTTTCACACCTGGAAGCACGCTGGGAAGGCACCCGGCGGCCATGAGCTGACTGAGGTGGTGTCTGGGCCCCCCCCGGCACCCCCCAGAGCCAGCATGGTAGGACCTGATAGAGGCTTGCGCGCTGCTCTCTCTGGCTGCTTTTGCTCAGCGAGGTACTGATCCCTCCATCCCTCCCCACCATGCACCACCTAACCCATCCTCTATCCCCCGGGGCTGGGAGAGCGCCGATGGAATGTACTGCCGGGCCTCTTCAAAGGCAGCATTGCGAAAGTGGCAGGGCCCGGGGGTACTGGGGGCCTCTTCTGAGGCCGCAGGCCCGCCCTGGCCCGCCTGGGTCCAAAACACCTCCGGGACTTGCTGCGGGAGACAGCCTAAAGTGCACTGACCCCCTTCACCCAATCTGAAGGAAGCTCCCACATTACGTTCTCGCACTGGCTGTGGCGAAAGGCCTCCTTGTCCTGGGAGCGGGGTCCCTCATCCACAATGGCAGGGTCACGAATTCCCAGTTTCTGCTGGTCAGGCAGCAGTGAAGCCCTCAGCATGCTGCTGGGACACTTAAACACCGTGGTGCATTTAGTTATACATCTAAACTGTCAGTGACTCAGAGGTGACTGGAGGGTGAC